TAAAGCTCAAGAAGGATGTTAGACATAGCTCAATGCAATTTGGAAATTTAAAACATTAAGAAAGCAAAAATATTCTGCAAACAAAATTTATCCATAATTATTTGCAAAAAAGAAAAATAAATAAATAGTTTTCATAAATCGCTACAACCACGTAATCTCAGCTGAGAATAGATTTAATAATTTCTCTTGTTTTATTGATGTCTATGTTAATGATTCATGATTTTTTGTTTGTCTTTACTATAATRTTTTCATTCATTGATTGTGATTTGTATACAGTGGTCATATGATGAGCATTGTCAATTAAACAGTGTGTTCATGATTTTGCTCTACAAGACAAATTCAGACATCGTCTACGTATTACTAGCCTGGTAAAAACCAGCCCCTTGTTCTTCCCTTTGCTTYGTACAGAGGGTCAGGACTCTTGGCTATAGAGAAGCGATTCTTTCTGGAGGCGTGGCCTCTGTTGAAGTTTTAAAAGGATTGGATCTGTTGGCCACAACATATGTGCGCCAGCTCCACTGTGAAGGAGGCTAAACTAAGAAGCTAACTGGAAATTGCATGCACCGTAAACAACCCTACTGAGAGGAGAGAAGTACCGAGCYGAACRAGACGGCTGTAAATGAGAGCTGCTGCTTTGTCAGACAAATTTAATTTAATTTGGAAGTTTTATTAGCACGGACTGGCTTCATTCACTTCCTCCACTGCCATTGCTAAACTACAGGCAGACTGTGTAGAAAATCAACGTTGTTCACAACTCCTCCTTCTGTTTGCTTATTGGCCCAGGTAAAATTCTACTGAGGAAATCCCAGAAGGAACAGTGAAGGGAATCTAGAATTGAGCGGAACTGCATAGGAAGGCAAGGGCCAGACTAACATATCACATAAACTAACCAAACAAATTGTAGGAGGCCTGTAAAAACACAATGTTAATTGTCTACATGTGAATTTGTCTGCAGGAGATAGAGAAGTCTGAATGGAATCAAGTGTCTGACCTGGAAGCTACTGTATCTGCCAGCGCAAGCTTCCAAGCCAGACATGTTACTGCTTATGTGGTTTCCCACTAAGCTGACAAAGACCCTGAATAATGTATCTATCAGTCTGCCTGAGTGGGCCGAGCACTGGGCACTGAGCAAGGTGCCAGCTTGTTATAGGCTCATTACAGGTGAAGATGACATGTTGAGGTGCAGCCGACTTGGCATTGTCTCCCTGTTCCTCCCTGGATAGATGGCAAGGCACTCTGTCACTCCCCACGGCATACAGGAGGGGAGACAGAGGTGATAGAGGAGAAGGCAATGATCCTCAAAACACCACTAACCCCCCAAAATGAAATTGACAGGCTCACTGAAGTAATTGCTCCCAACACTATTTTCTTTGGCAGGAAATACTATTATCGACAAATAGGAGATTCAATAAGCGGCAGGAGATGAGGCTCAGGGCTGTGGTCAAAAGGCTGTGTCTGTCCTATGCTGTAGAGGTTACAGCATCTCCTGATGATCTGCCACTTTGACCTGCCCTTTCTCGCTCATACTTTTTGTACCTTTTTCCTACTTCTCCTCTTCCTTGTACATGCCTCGCTTCTTTAGCTTTTTACATTTTACTACTACATCACTAACTACACACAGGTCTCTCGTCTACGCTCCATCTTCCCTGGCACTTTCCTCTTGGGTAATTTTTTTCTTGACCATTTTTCATGAATGTGACAGAGAAAATTCCTATTACTCAGAATCCAGCAGGTAGATGCACCACTTCCCCTTCTTCTCAGATTGTTTCTCTGCTGCCAGTATGGTGGTGTAATGTTGATATTATCCCAATGGATTCTATTGATTTGGGCTAGGGTCATGATAAAGTAGTTTATGGTCGTTGTCTTTGGTTTCCAGAGGTCAAGGCATGTGGTGAAACCAGAGCTCTAGCCTTTCTGGATATGGTGGCATGCTTGCTGGGAACTATTGAGAGGTCAGGAGATAAATAAAAAGGATGGATGCATTTGCCTTATGGTCTATAACCGAGGAAGTACTTTATGGAAAATGTAGTTGCCTAATCAGCCATGTATACAAAAGGACTTTCACTCAAAAATGAAAATGTCCTTTTTCCAAAGTATATTGATCTAATACAATTCTCAAACTGTGGAGTGAGACCCCTTGTTGTGGCATGAGAGCCTGCCAGGAGGGCGTGTAAAGTCTCAATTRGTATTTTGAATTTTTGTTTGTTTTCTTTGTTTTTAATAAAATAACAAATTATTCAAATAAAAAATAAAATAAGCGTTATGATATTGCATTTTCTTTAAAAGAGCATGCCTAAATTTTAATACTTGAAGCATTGTTACTATTTTGTTTTAAGCCTCAAGGACACTGATGTTCTTTCTTCAAAGGAGTGTCACAAAAGGAAAAAGTTTGATTTTTCATGACATTTTTTAGTTCAAATTCTGTAAATTGTCCCACATAATATGCTTAGAATTACCCTAACAGTTCAATAACATCTGTATKGGGGTGATTTGTGACCGACTCACATTGTCCCAGTAATCTTTACACGTTTAATATTTTTGACTTGAGTTTTTACTAAAAGTAGCAAACTGCTCTTTGTAAAATGACATATTGCTTTTCATCAAGTTCTTCTAAAACCGAAGTCAAACCTCRGTGAGACAGCAGGGTAGGCCCTCACAAAACCCATCACAATAACTCAATATCTTACTTTCCTTTATCTTCCAAGCCTTCAAAAGTAAATCTCTGACACATTACTCCTCCACAGTTAAGTTGTTTTGCTTTTATTATCTGATTCACTGCAGACAGCAGTATGTCTTTGAAGCCCTAGACTTTTTGAAGAAAAACAAGAAGTGATTTAGTGATTTCATTGCTACGATGGTGCAAAACTTAACAATGATGTTTTCAGGAGACACGCAGTGCATTACATTAACTCCCTACGATGTTCAGGCTGAGAAAATAATACTTATTGTTAAGATTTTGCTCTTTTGTGTTTTGATGTCAAGTAAACTTTACATGCACTAGTCTGATTTAGCTTGTTTTGCGTTCATGTTAGTTTTAATGTGATGTACTGCCCTTATCAGCTGTTTACTGATCACTACTCCTTTATTTTCAGTAGGTTTGTGGTGTTTACTTGGTTGGAAAATGAAAAAAATATAGTTTCAACCTGCTATCTCTCTTAGAGGATGTGCATTTTTTTCAATTACATTCGTTTTTCTTTTTTTTTTTTTTTGGCCAAATGATTTCACAACAGATTCTTTCATGTACATATAATGCAGTAAATAGTAAATGTATAAAACACATTTCAGTTTGTTGTTTTGAGAAAATGCTGACCAATATTAGTTTTATTTTTTAGCTGATGGTTACAAAAATTAAAAGTTTTAAAAGTTAGTTAGCTAACTAATTGGATCAGAATGTCTGTGTTCATGTCCTTAAGACTTTTTTTTCGGAGATGCTTTGAAGTTCAACTAGTCAAAGTTATTTGACAGATAGACAACAGGCCGTTTTTGTGCTGTAAGTAACATTCTAAATACATAAAAGTTGTACGTTTGAAAGGATTTTAAAGCAAATTTTTGCATCTTGTTCCTTTTGAGTTCTTCCATCTATTTTTCATTTATCTCTTTTACAGCAGTTAATAATAAAAAGCTATTAGGTAAAAATCTGATGTTGCACTAAGACACTTTTTGTTACTACTTTGCCTAATGCATATCTTTGTGCTTATGAACTCACAATGCTAATACCATAAAGTACAAAGCTGTGTGTACTGTTGCGTGAATGAATTTAGCTTTGGCACTGAACAGTTCAGCAATTTTAGAACACAATTTATCATAAGCGTTTTTCAGAGAATTATATTTGATGTTGTTTAGCCAATCAAACTTTGAGCTCAACGTCCATGAAAAGAACAAGATTATTGGTCWCTTGCTGTTTGAATCCTTGTGGTTTTTTTATGCACACACACAAATAAAAGGTTCATTCATGTCGACTGCGCATTGCAGCAGAGCAGCAGACCTCTCTTTTCTCCAGATAAATGAGCTAGCTTATTACTTCCCAAACTGCCTATTAGCACAGCTCACTTTGTGGGGAACCAGCAATCTGGGCATGAATACAGTGGTGTTGCTTTTGCTAAGCAGCCTGTTTTAGGCATGTATGATGCCTAGCATGTTTCCTTACATTTTTAGTATTATGTGGTACCCACATCTAAATTTTTGTTCATTTTAACAAAAAAGTATCCTGTGATTACCAATTTTCAAAGATGTGTTTGTCAGAAAATGTAATCAATTTGCAAACAAAGCCTTTTCAATTTGGTTGATTGTTGGACTGCTTGCAAGTAATTTAGTCAAACAATTGAATTACTTAGTGATGGCAAAATCAAAATATTGCTCATTATAGTACAAAGCTGTTTTTATTGTGGGCTTAGAGAGTGAGTGTTAATGTGTTTTTGAGCYGAACGCGTGTGTAGTGCTGCCAGTAGATAGTCTCATTGTGTAAGCATCAGTGTAGCAACATATCCCGGTGGAGATTAAACACAAGAATCCATTTACTCCAAGCAGAATCTGTTGTAGATTGCATGTACAGTAGAGCCCGTCTTTGGCTCTGGTGGTAGAGTCCATTATATGTGTGTTGCCTAATTTAGAAATAAAAGAATTCCTCTGCRTGTTTCATGATTTATCTTTACCAGTTAAGTCAAAACTAGTTTAAACCCTGTCCACCTTTAATACTTTTCTTTTTTTCTTTCATACCTTCTACTCTCGTGTGATTTCATTTCCCTCTGGGATCAATAAAGTATTTTTGAATTAAATTCAATTGAATTTGAATGATTTGGTTATAACAAACTGATTTTAATGTGAAACATAAGTAATAGCTTTTTGAAAACYCACTTCTTTCTGTGTCCTGTTAGTGATGCAAATTATTTATTAAAGTCATTCAGTTTATTCCTGATGCTTTTATAACATTGTTATTGCTGATAAATTCACAGTTACAGACCTGCAAATTAATAATTGTCTTACTGATGTTTCTTTTGCAGGGTGGACTAAGGAATAGCAAGCATGAGTGCACACTTTCTTCACAAGAATATGTTCATGAACTGCGCTCTGGCATCACAGATGAAAAGCTGCTCAATTGCCTGGAATCCCTCAGAGTGTCTCTCACCAGTAACCCTGTTAGGTTAGTAACTAAAGCTTTTACAACTAACAATAAATTGGTATTTTATTGTAAAAATGTTCAATGATTTTGGAAATGGCTTGAAGATTTCAGTCTCTAAGGTACCATAATGGAGGTTTTCAGTGTGATGGAATAGCTGTTTTTATAGTGTCACGGTTTGCAGTTGCACAATAATTACTTTGCACTTATTTACTGAAATATCTTACTCTGTTTGAGAGGCTATTAGTAATTTAGAAAAATCATTAATKTTTTAAAGTATCTTCTTGTAAAATTAAAAGCAGCAACTCAAAGAAAAAAAGT